GCAGTCCCAGGAGTCTGCCTTCAATCCAGATCCTTCGTTCTTCCAGTTACTTGCATCTGAAGCTTGTTCCACAACCTTTCTGCAGGTGTTTCCACGGACCAGCATGACTAACTATAATACCAGTGAGAACGAGGAAGGAAATCAAATTATAAAACAAGCCTTGGAAACTGCCGGCATCCCAAGTACCTTTGATAACACAGAAGAACTTCCACACGTAGTTACAACAAGTTGCGTCACTGGTACAACTCAGATAAATGCAACCGTTCTCCCCAACTCAACCACGACTCCTCTGTTGCAGACAGTTTGTAACCCCAGTACCCTGCTAACAGACCAAAACAGGACCCTCAATGCCAAAATTCCTCCGATAAACGAATGCAAGAGTTTGCCTGTTCTCGCAACGGAGGACTTAATGCTAAAGACTGTTGAAAATGGCTTATGTCCTAGCTCATTTTCTAACGCTGTTACAGAAGCGCAAAACTTTGCAGGTAACAGTTCGCGAGTTTCAGTTATAAGTAGTCCCAAGAATTCAGAATCGAGCAACTTGAATAAGAAGGGAACCAGTGCTTCAAAGAGGAAGAGAAAAGCAACTACGCCCTTGCTCACACCCGATACATCACAGAAAGTAACAGTAAATAATACAGCAACGATGGGACTTTTAACAAAAAGCACTGAAGGAACTGTGCAAATGCAGGGAGAAAGTTTTCAGTCCAACTTGCTGGCAAATAGTGGCTCTCAAGCAGTGGTGGAAAATCTCACACAGAAACTCAGTAACGTTGACAATCAGTTATTCATGGCCAGTATCAAAGAGAACTTCAAAACAAATCTCGAGGCTCATACAGCGCTGCCCCCTTTAACAGTGAAAACTGAAAATGGGGATTCACAAATGATGGCTGTAAATTCTTGTGTGCAAGCTAATTCGGAGGACCAGATCTCAGAAGACAATGTCATGCAGAACTTTGAAAAAACCCTGGAAATAATTAAAACTGCTATGAATTCACAGATACTGGAGGTGAAAACTGAAATTCAGGATACCGTCGCTGCTTCAGAACAGACCTCGCAAGTAAATAACGCACAGGTTTCTTTGGGAAATTCTGCACATGGTGTAAATCTACCCCCTCCTGCACAGTTTGCCGTGCATGCGGGGAATGTCACTGCTGCGAAGAGTGGCTCTGCTCAGTCTGAGACGTCTCAAAAGGATGATACTCAGATGTTGGAAATTGTAGAGTGCTTGCAAAAACTGAAACTAGAAGATGATTCACCCATTCAGGTCTCTGAGACTGTTGCCCTGTGTCCTGCAGCAGATACACTAGCACCAACAGTTCCTGTTGTAGCAACTGAAAGTAAACCTGTCATCCAGCTAACTTCAGAGGCAAGTAACATTCAGTTTAGTGATAAAGTTAATAAGCCTTTCGTATGTCAGGACCCAGGCTGCAGTTACAGTGCAATGACAAAAGACGCATTATTTAAACACTATGGCAAGGTCCATCAGTACAGTGCAGAAATGATCCTAGAAATTAAGAAACATCAACTGAAGTTCGCCCCGTTCAAATGTGTTGTAGCTACCTGTCCAAAAACATTCACAAGAAACTCTAATCTCCGAGCACACTGTCAGCTTGTACATCATTTTACGACAGAGGAGATGGTAAAATTAAAAATTAAAAGACCTTATGGCAGAAGATCTCAAAATGAAACTGTAAACACGGCCCCGCGACCTGTTGAAATAAAAGCTTTGCAGACACTAATAGTAGAAAACAAAACTGCAGCTCCGTTAGTTAAAGAAGCTCAGATAAAGCAAGTTGTAGAGCCTGTAAAAGTCTTGGAAAAACTTCTACCAGAAAATAATATTCCTGAAAGACTGGAAAAACCTCCTCAAGTGGTTTCTGTTCCACTGGAGCAGCAGAGTGCAGTCTCTTTTGGTGATACAGAGGCACAACCCAAAGTACGCAAGGTTAGGAGGTACAGGAAGGAAAAAGAGGAGGGAAAATGTAGGAAGCCCGTAACGAAATCTCTGGAGTTTCCCACTAGATACAGCCCTTACAGACCATACCGGTGCGTCCATCAGGGCTGCTTTGCGGCTTTTACAATACAACAAAACCTAATCCTCCATTACCAAGCTGTGCACAAAACAGACCTCCCCGCCTTCTCTGCCGAAGTGGAGGAAGAGAACGAGGCAGGCAGAGAGGAACGCGACGAGGTGGAAACCAAACCCACCATCAGAGAGTTCAGGTGTGAGATGAGTGACTGTTCTCGCATCTTCCAGGAAATTCCCAGCTTGATACAACATTACATGAAACTTCATGACATGACTCCAGAGCAAATTGGAAACATGAAAACTTCTCCGGAGGTGGGAAAGTTTTCTTGTGATCAGTCTCAATGTAAGTCTTCATTTACAGCATATCTTAACTACATTGTACATCTCGAGGCAGATCATGGTATTAAGATAAGGCCGAACAAAGTAGAAGATGATGGTTTATTCAAGTGTGACTGTGAAGGCTGTGACCGTATTTATGCTACTAGGTCTAATCTCTTGAGACATATTTTTAACAAGCATAATGACAAGCATAAAGATCATCTAATAAGACCCAGGAGACTGACACCAGGTCAGGAAAACATTTCAAGCAAAGCCAACCAGGAGAAACCGTTGAAATCCAAGCAGAGAGCACTGAAAAACAGATCGGGAAAAGAAGGTAACAAGCTGTCGGTGAAAACAAAACGGAAGAAAAATGTGAACTTGGAGAACAAGAACTCGGAAGTAGTTCAAGTCCAAGAAAATAAGGCTTATTCACTGAAATGTGGCAAGCACGTGTACTCGATAAAGGCTAGAAACGATGCCTTATCGGAATGTACGGGCAGATTCATAACTCAGTATCCATGTATGATAAAGGGATGTTCTTCGGTAGTTACAAGCGAGAGTAACATCATAAGGCATTACAAATGTCACAAGTTGTCCAAAGCGTTTACTTCCCAACACAGAAATCTTCTTATTGTATCTAAAAAGCAATCTGTCTCACAAGTAAAGGAAGCCCCTTGTGAGCAAGAGGAGACTGATAAAAAAAGTGATGTGAAAGAGCCTGAACCAAGTTTGACAGTGAGCAATAATGACTCAAGCACATCTACGTTACCACAAAAGGAAACTGAAAAAGGTGAGAAGGATGAAGTGGACGAACTGACAGAACTGTTCATTACTAAACTGATTAACGAGGATTGTTCAAGTGCTGAAAATCAAGCAAAAATATCTTCCACTGTAAATAGTGATTTACAGGAGACCAGCTCCTGCCCCTTAGAAAAGCAAAAACCGAGCAACTTAAAAAGAGCTAGCAAAGAAAAAAATCTGTCTCGGAATAAGAGGAGGAGAGCTGAAAAAACAGAGGAAGTACTGCCCGCTGGTGGGAGCAGTATGTGCAGGGAGGACGAGACTGCTGTCGCCATTCAAACGGCCGAAGAGCAACCGGCAGCTTTTGACTGGAGTTCCTTTAAGCCGATGGGATTCGAAGTGTCATTCCTCAAGTTCCTCGAAGAGTCTGCTGTGAAGCAAAAGAAAAACACCGAAAGAGACTACCATAGTGGCGGAACCAAAAGAGGATCCCATTCGAACTCACGAAAATCCAACGAGAAGACCTCCATAGCAAGTAATAGCGTCACTTCGTCACGTTCCGAAACTGAAAGGCTTGTACCGTTTGCCAATCGCTCACGGCTGCCGTGTGGTGACAACGTCAAGATTGTTTTAGACAAGACTTACAAAGATTGCGCTGAGCGTGTGCTGAAGCAACTTCAGGAAATGAAACCCGTCGTCATTTTGAGAAAGCTCGAAGGACGTTGGGAGGATAATCCGGAGGTTATGGCTGCAAAAGTCATTGTTGTGGGTACCAAGGAAGGGGAGTCAAAATACTGAAAACTTCTAGTGTGTTTTAACCTTGACGTTTTAATAAAATTTATTTTGAATAGGAAGCCATCCAGCATGCTGTGGAGCTCTTTTATTTTGAAGTGATTTAATCTAGCAAAAAACATGACATGAGTCATGTAAATGTCTTATTTGTTTTTATCCCTATGGGACTTGAAGAACAGAGTATTTGCTTCAGTTTTGTAAATACTTGATCAAAACCTCAACTTTCTATCAGACTGTCCTTTCCATGAACTAAATCTTTGTGAGTCGTCCGTGATTGGTATCTTTCGCCAGGTCACTGCTCATGTATAACAATACTCTTTATTTGTAGATACATTTTTTTTGTATATATTTATTATTGTAAATCATTTGCTGCCACCAGCAGTCTGTAAGTCTAAACTATTAAATGACACATTTATATTCGGAATTTTAATTTCTAACTAAGCGAGCAAGTTTTTAAAACTGTCCTTTAATCATTTTAAATTAAGAACTTTTGAACTACAACTAGCTAAGTCTGCCATATCCAGTTTATTTTGCGTAAAGCATTTATTTACAGGACAGGAGCTGGATAAGATCACATTTCATAGGTTAAACGTACTGACACATGCTCATTTTTGTAAATTTTAACATCCAGTATCTATGGATGATATTCATATGTAGTTAATTCATAAATATAATAGTTTTCTTATAGCTACATTTTTCATTGCTTTTAATTGGATACAAAGCATTTATGATTCCATAATAAAAATGGAAATGTGAATAAAAATAGTTTGCTACATTGGAGAATTAAAACAATATTTGGTATTAAAGAATCCGTTGTGAATGTGATAGAAAATTAGTAGTGTGGAGCAGTGTATATATTTGAGGTGGTGATTTGTGAAGTAGCCCAGTATTGCCTTAAATAAAAACACATTTCATTTCTTGTTTTATACATGTGATCTTATAAAGGTTATTTTTGTTTCTGTAACTTAGATTGGTGTATAGTTTAATTTTTGTTAAAAAAACAAAACAAAACAAAAAAACTTCAGAAACCGTTTTTGTAAATAGTGGGTTTATAAAACAGATGGTTTATTTTGATAATACCAGTTTGGTATCTATCTATAAAATACATGAGTCCTTATGCCATACCGTTAAAAACTGAATAAACAAGGCACTTTCTGAAAGGGAAGTGAGATTGTGATCTTACAGATAAACTCGGTGGTTGCGCTCTATCGATGGCATAGGCTCCCTCCGCGCTCTTCTGCCTCTTGCTGACTGTACCCGGCAGCGCTCTCGCCACCTCTCGCTTTTCCACACGGGAATGAGCCTCGGAAGCGGTGCCGCTTGTACTGCCCAGGATAGGAGCAATTTCTCTGTATGCTGCTAACCGAAACGACAGGTGTCCAGTTTGTTGAGTAACCAAAAGCGTGAACGCACTGACGGGAGCTCTCAGTACCCAGGAATCTTCGGTGTTGGTTTTCACGCATCATTATGCTTAACTCAGATGGGACAAGCCAGCTGGATTGAGTGGTACCAAAAATTTTTCTTGGATTATTCTCATTACTGGATGTGACCTACCTTCAGTAATATAAAATAGTCTTTATCTTGGGAGAGATTGGCTTGATTTTTTTTTTTTCCTATAAACTTGTCTTGCCATGTAAAGCTTTGCATTAAATGCTACACTTGATTGCTCTTAAGCTACTCACCTGGAATCTTTGACAGTTTACTTGAATATCAATGCAGAGGGCACATTCCTCCAACCAAATGAAGTGACTGGTGAGAGTGAGGATTATGTATGAAAAGGCGGAAAGACAACGGCTTTTCAACTCGGGCATGGCCCTTGGTTTGCTATCTGGTGCTAAATTCTGGACCTTCTCAGAGTGCCCGTGCTTCCATTCAAACGGAGCCCGTTCACTCCTCTCGTTTTCGATCCCTCCCAAGTGACTAAACTGATAATTCAGCCAAGTTAGTAAATCAAAAGTGCAGTCTGAGAATGATCAAACCAAATCCTTGCGTTTTAACTCTAGGAGAGATTATTATAATGATTTTAAGTGGATGATGCCACGTTCTACCTAACAGAGGCTGTGCGGTTGCCCTGGATGGAGTTGCTGTTGGCTGCCAGACGTGCTGATTGTAGAAGGGATCTTCTGCAGGGGAGAAGAGGGCAGAGAACCTCCTCGGGAGAGGATCCACAAAGCTCGCCTGAAATCTGTTTTCAGATGTCCCTAACCACTGTCACTGTCAAGAGACCTCACGACTGTTAATTTTTAGAAGAATATTGTGTTCGTGTAAGTTAGTTTCAGCATTGACTTTCCCAATGATAGATAATGCGTCTTTTGCAGTTTTTAGATTGAGAATAGCGTATAACTATCTAGCTACACAGTGCTATACTAGAATGCTATTTTTAAAAAAGAAATGGAAAAAAAATGTCATAAGTATCCAGAAAATAATTTCTGGTCTGAATGTCCAAGAATGATATTTTGAATATTGTCTCATTCCTATCCCAGTTAATCAAATTAAAGTGGATGTTGTGTCAGTATAGTCAGTGCCATCTATGGCATGCTCCCTTTTAGGTGGGTACTGACAGCCTGTCCAACAGGTAAACTAGTATGGTTGGGTTTTTTTTCCTCTTTGAAAAAAAAATATTTTTAAGTGGGGGGCCAAAGGCAGGATCTGATTTAAGATGTCACAGACTGCAGAGGGCACTGTGGTTTGGTTAAAGCCACCTACAAAAGTTCCTGAGGAAATAAATTTGGTATTTGCTGCATGCCTGAACTGACAGCTCCTCTGGAGCCTGGGGCTGTACTCGTGCCCCGGGGGCTGCGGGGTGGGATGGTGCTCCAGGGCAGCCGAGCCCAGCTCTTCCAGCACTGCCTCAGCCCACCTGGTCCCTCTCTCGTTCTGCTCCCTCTGTGTCTCTGTCTTCCAGACATGTTACCCATGACCTGTGGTGTATTTGAGCAAAGATGCTTTCTCTTAAACCTCTTGGTCACCATCTGGAATGTGCTGACTAAAGCAGCAGTTGCTGATGGGGAAGCAACCAAATCCAGGAGTCTGGATACAGAGTGCAGACTGGTTTGTGATGGAAAGACATTTTTAAACCAGCAGTCAGCCTCTCTCATGGTTAAGAAATCTTACACTGTCTGAGCACTAATTCAGTGTAAATAAGAGGAGTGGGTTCTTGCATGTTTTGAGGTGGTCCTCAGCAGGACGGGGACTCTTGGTCATAGAGGGCTCTGCTGGCACGTCCTGCCTGTGGCTGTTGGGATGGCAAGGGAGCGATGCTTGTAGGAGTAATGCTGAAAACAGTTGTTGGTTCGGGCAAAGAAGAGTAGCTGGCTGTGTTCTTACAATTTATTTCTGTGCCAAAGAATTAGCTGGTTTGGGGTTCCCACCTGTGCAGGCAGGGACATGCTACCCTGAGGTTTAGGCCCCGTGAGGTAGAGGAGTTCCTGCTCACGCCCTGCTCGATCCCTGGCCGGAGCCTTGGCACCAAGAAAGTGATTCTGCTGAAGGGGCAGGAGACAGGGCCAGGGGTACTGCTGGTGGGAGTAGAGGGAAGAAACTATGAGCAAACAGGGAAATGTTTTTTTCTGTGACTTTTTTTCAAACCTCATCCATCACAAGGCAAGGACATTACTTGGGTTTTAAAGAAAACGAGGATCTGTGTAAGACTTGGATCTTTTAACATTTGCAGAGATGTTCTGAAATATGAACGAGGTAAATATTTTTGTATGAATGTGCATGGAGTGGACACGTTATTTCTCCATTACAGTATGGGCTCAGATCAGCTTCCTGTCAGTTGATATGTGCTTGACGAGACTGTACATTTATTTACACTTTAAAAAACCTGTAGCACTTGAATTTAAGTTTTTAAAATTTTGTCTGTTTGAGTGACTTGGAAGCTAAATACGTAAAAAAGCCCTTAAACTTTTAATTTAGGGATTGAGCCTGCAAACATTTGAACCAAAAATGTAAGAGCAAACAACTTCAGGGATGGGTGGATGATGGATGAGTGAAACTCAAACTGGAGCATAAAGAAGTATAAAGGCAGGGAAGGGGCTGTAGAAGGGGAGGAACCAATAAAAGACCAAATCCTGGCCAAGAGCAGTGCTTCAGAAAGTGGATGAGTTTTTGTTTCTGTTCTCTCAGGTTAAGTAAAAATCTGACAGAGCTGCCTTGAGTGATGCTCATTTCATTAGTGGCTCTGTCAAATACTAATTTTGCAGCACGTGATGTAGAAGCCACTTGGCGGTTTGCTGTGAGTGAGTCGGGATTTGCACAGAGTTGGGTCCATAATATTTTTTCAGAATATTTATCGTGTAAGGTACTGGCTTTGTCAAAACTGAAGTATCCTCAAAGACGTGCAACCTACTGATTTTGGAATTTATTTATCATTTTATGGCTGTTGAAGATAGAATTAGAAATAAAATGTTGAATATACATTCCAAAGAATTAAAAGTTCTTGTTTCGCAGGAAAATTTTTGGTCTAAGTGGGAAGCTCTGACCAGCCACAGAGCTTTAGTGGATGCTCGAAAACCTTTCAAGCCCTCACTTAATAAACTTTTTTATTAGAGAGCAGCTAAATTTAATCAGAAACCTTTGTTGGCTGAACTGTGTTTGCTTCTCTTTGTTTTCTCTCAAATAAACTTTGCTTTAAAAAAATGAATAAATACTTTTTCATTAATGTGCTGTCTTAAAGTCTGTCCTCAAAAAAGCAGTTGTTTTGGAAGAATTTTCAATTTTGATAGTGTTGCCCTTATCTTAAAATAATTAAGAAAAAAAAGATACGTTAGAATACAAAAAGGACTAGAAGATTTTGGTTTGTCTTCTCAGCTGTGGCGTCACACAGAGCTGATGGGCAATGGTTTTTATTTCTGCTTGGTGGGTTTTGTCCAGTGGCTCATAAAGAGTTTCTGACTGCATTTCTGTCATAGGCCACATCCTGTGTATGTGGAGATTTAACAGAAAATGTCCTGAGCTGTGTAAAGCGCGTTGTCTCCACACATACTGGTTCAGTCACTCGAGATGTAGAACTTTAAGTGGCCACAAGCTGGCAAGCTACCAGCTGAGGGACCGCTCTCCCTGTTAAGTTCAAACTTGACAGCAGCAAATGTGTTTTCACCTTTTCTAAAAGCAGCTTTATTTTAGCAGAAGAAAGGTTGAAAGTCACAGTCAAAAGCACATAGTTTATTCATTAGTTCTTAAAGTTAATTCTGTAACTGCTACCCCACTACTCATAAAAGTAATGCTTTATAGCGAAATCTGGGCTTTGTTGGAGTGAAAAAACAGTGGACGTGCTTTTGCTGCTGTTTCCTTTATCCTGGCACGAACAATAAAATGAGTAACAACGTTCAGAGAGCTCTTCTTATTGCAGGCGGTGGTTTTCTCTAAAAGAGTGTATTTTGATCAGGTTCAGTACTGATAGATGTCTGAAGGTCTTTCATCCCAGCAATAGCACTGCGCTGAAATAAGGCTTTTTAGGCACTAATTTCTATCGTCTCTGAAGTCTAGCTTCAACAGAAGTAAGTCTTAGTTAATTTCTCTCCCTCTTGTTAGCCCAAGCAACAGACATGACAAAGAGCAGAAGTGTGTGGTGTTTTAACAGATATTCTGAAATTTGTGGGGAGGGAATAGGTGATTTTACTTTGTTTCTGCTGGAGGCTATTCAAATTTTAGATTTCACATGTTCTTCTACGGCAGAGAAACGTACCTTCAGCCTTACTAAATGGACTAGGTTCTGGGCTACTGCACCCTAGGACTACTGGCTACTGTATATTGTGTGGATCTGCATTTCTCAACTTGGATCTTAGGGAACTGGGAATGATCTTTTTTAGATGCCACAATGACAATGCTGAAGAAAAGTTGAATGGATTGGGAGCTGCTCGATGCTGTTGACCAGGAGTTAAGTCTGTACTGTAATATATGCTGCCTGCACAAGTTTGAGCAAGTATATTTTCTTACACGATGTATTGATGATAAATACCCTAAAAACTGTAAAGAGTTCAAATACCTCCAGAAGGAGGTACTCCACAAATACCTAAATAACCAGGTCTGTCTTTATCACCATGATTTGAACCAAATATTTGGCTTCTTCCTTTTTTTTTTCTTTTTTGAGATGTTTTACAGTAGTCCACTGGAATGGGCTTGTGACCGTCCAGCTGACTTCAAGACACCAGCAGCCACTGTATGTGCTATTTCAAGTAACTAGATCCACCCACCTGACAGTGCCTGTACATCCCCTTACTGTTGAGTGTATTAATCCCAAGTTCTTCCAACTTTGCATATAAAAAGCCTCATCTTGCTTGTACCAAGGCAATTCTGGGTAATAGTCAAAACACAACTGTTTGAGCAGTTGGTTCGGCATGACTTATCATAAGCATCTGTGTTTATATTAAAACCTCATTGAATTTTCAGGCTTCTACACTTCTTATTTCAAAGATCTAGATGATTCTATGTTTGACATACGTAACACAACTCAATTTATCCACTCAAGTAAGGGCAAACTAATGGAGAAAAAGTATTTCCTACAGAATTGTCCTTTCAGTTCTGTAAAGCACTGATTGGAAAAGCAATTCATCAAGTAGAGCTTGTGTAACAGGAAGGTGGCCTCTACCCTTCTTTCAAGTCAATGAGGAACTTTTTTCACATTTGTCTCGTATACTCAAGAGGCAAGGACAGGGAGCTGCTGTGGAACTGTCCTGCAACTGCTGGTCTGCTGTGACCAATGATTTCTGATTTGTGGCAGTCGCTTTCTGAGCCTTGATATTTCTTGGTGTACTTCTTCAGATAACATTTCATGGAGTATTTGAAAATGAGGTAACTCAGTTCACTGAGATTTAATACAACACACAGGCACGAAGTTGCCACCAGAAAATAAAGGAAAATCATCTTCTCAGTGGGTTTAGAAATATAGCAGTCTACGGTATTGGGACACGGTCTTACATCACATTTCACAAGATGAGGTACTTTGAATCCATTGTACAATTTATAAAACAGAACAAGAAAAACTATTTCAAATCCTGTTTTTAAAATAAGGCTGATAAGGTAAGTGCACAGCAACCCACCATCTATCTCTCTGGGACTTTTATAAAGTTTCTGGTTGTGGCGTTTCTCTCTGTTCTCTCGGTAAGCGACGTGAAAAACAACCAAGAGCGAAGGAGTGGAGACCACGATTAATTGCAAAGCCCAAAGTCTGATGTGGGAGACGGGGAAAAAATGGTCAAAGCAGACATTTTCACAACCGGGCTGCTGGATATTGCATTCAAATTCATCGTGTTCATATTTCCAGATGTTTTCTGCTGCCACAACATAAACCAGTAAACGGAATATGAACACAACTGCTACCCAGATTCTTCCAATTCCTGTTGAATATTTATTAACTCCACTCAGCAGATGACGCAGGAATCCCCAGCTCATTTTTCTCCTCAAGGAAAGAAGAAAATGCTGTATTGAAGAAACACATGATCAGAGACATTTCCTCTTGGGTGAAGAAAAATGAGACGTTCATTAAAGGTGAAATACAACCAGTAGCTGAAGCAATTTAAAACTATTAAGCATTTAAAAAGGAAAACAACAACAACAAAGTGCCCTTAGTTCTGATAATTTGTACCTTCTGAGGCTATTACAGAAAATTTACCTGCTGTTAGAACAGATTTTGTCAGATTTTGTTAGTTGAAGCCTAATTTTTCTGTTACACTGTCCTCTGCTAGAAAATGTTCCTGTTCTTCCTGAGGGTCTCCCAAGTGTCAGGTAGAGGTTTTTTGACAACCCAGGCTAACAGTGTACCACGGGGGTACACTCAACTTAGCCCTGTCAGATAGACAAATACTAAGTGCAGTCAAATCACATTTCACTTTATAAGAGCCATAATAAGTTGACTACCAAAATGCAAATTGTTGCCTTTTTGTTTGTGGTCTAAGTTCTTGGTGAACTTGTGCAATACTTTAAATCCTGCCCTGCTTCACTGGATTTCATTATTTTTTTTTTTCTTACCATTTAAGAAATGCACTAAACTTTAATCCAAAAAATGTTTTTATTTTAAAGTTTCTTTTCCACACGAGTCTCCCCCTGTCCTAACTCTAGAACATTTCTTTTCAAAGAGCTGGCTGAAGAGCTATTGGCAGTCAGACTCTCCTCAAAGTCAGGAGACCATAACCACCAAGAACATACAATCACCTTCCCACCTGGCCCCACCTCAGAGGTCTGTGCAAATCTCTGAGGATACCAAGTTCCTTTGTTTTGTAAGAACAAAAAGTAGACACTCTCTTAGGACACAGAATGGCTGAGAGACATGAAGAGGGCAATTTGAGAAGTTTCCAGATCTGTGTGTTCTATCTTTTAATTTCTTCATCCCATCTACTGCTCCTGCAAGCTGCCGAGCAGGAGAGAAAAATGTGCCCCTCCATGGCTTCAGTGGCACATGCAAATCCTGCTGCCAATGCCATAGCTGCAGTTAGTTCCAACGTATGAGCAAGTTGAGCAGCTGGCAAGTTTGAATACGAGTAGTAATCAGCCACAGCATCCCAAAGCTCAGCTCAGATGGAAAGCTCAGTACTTCTTTTGCTTTCCCTTGGTTCTGTAGTCCATCATGACCTCTGCCAGATTTCAACTGGAAAACAAGGTTATTTGCCTATTTTGGTATTCTTATGTTGATACTGTTAGAACTGGTGAGCTGGTGACTTACTTGAGGAGCTGAGGGACAGCTGCAGAAATTAATCTATTGCTGATTTATATTGGGAAGGATGTTGAAAAAAGATGGTCTCACGAAGAATGGTCACCAAGAAACTCCTGGATGCTGCAAGTAAAAAAGAATAACACAGGAATATCAGTTGGCATGTATCCTACTGGACATACGCTTATATGCTTTTAAATATGTTTGTCAGGGTGGTGACTTTGTCATTAAAGAGCTATTTCTGTCTTCCATGTCTGCAACTGGAGCTCAAGCAGAAGTTTAAATCAAGCTCTTCAAGACTTCAGAACTAGGACTTTAATGCTTCCTAGATAAGTAATACACAGCCACTAATACAGCAAAGGAACTGAAGATACTACCATGTAACAAAGCACAGGCAAGCAAACAAAGCATTCACATGAGCGAGCATGCATATAACATGAATGAATGCATCCTGTGGGTGAGCTGTCCTTTGGAGGAAATTTAAAGGAAAACCTGAACAGGCCCTTCTTAGGATTTTAAGATGTGCTCAAGCACTGTAGAAGGCAAGACTGAATTGTGTTACTCCACTGAAAGTGAGTATGGCGGTGAGTGGGCTTTTGCTAATGGCCATAGGAATGGCACCATCCCCTTCTAATGTATCAATCCATGCCTGGAGTTACACCAGCTCTGAGCCTCCAGCTGAACAAGTTGGGACAGAAATGAGAGATATGCCAGGTCACCAGCAAAGCACAAAAATCAGCGAGAACCTACACTGGTGGAAATCAGGCCATGGAGATAACTAAACAATGACTGGGAATTTTACCTTGAGGTCTCTTTTCCCAAAGCTGCTACTTCCTTACCTGAGCAGCAAGAGGGGTTAGAAAATAACAACTTTATACCTTCTTTTGCCATCCCACATTGAGAAGGATATAAATGGGAAAGGAAGTCCTGCCCAAAGAAAATGGGGATCAAGGAATTAACTAAAATCTCTAGCAGATCCTGAGCAGTGGGCAAGTTCTGGCCAGCCAGAAGATCGGATGGATGAAATTCCTGCACAGCGATTTTGAAAGACAGCAACACATTTTTGTACCTAGTTGGCTGGTGGTGAGGCAGCAGCAGGGATTTCACAGAACTAAAGATATGCTCTGTTGATGAGAAACTGGAATTTATTAAAGGACTGCAGAGCAGGTCTTGTGGCCAGTGGCCCTTCTGCAGACTTCTGTCTGCAGTTTTGGTGACCTTTTTCCACTTGCAGCCATCATTTGATGTTGAGAAATGGTCGTATGGGATAACCTTCAGTCACAAATTTAAAGGGCCACAGTGCCTGCCTTGTGGTATTGTCCAGGTTGTAACCAAACCAGCACAGCTCCTCTGTCCAAAGGAGCTGCAAATGCGCCTTTGAAAGGTTATGTTTGCTTTATGCAGCACTGTTGCTGTACAAAATTGTGGATGTTAACTGTTGCTCTTGTATCCTTTGAAAATACAATTAATTTACTGAAAGATCACAAAGAAAATTTGGAGTGGGAAAAAAAATGGATTTCAAAGATAAGGAGTTACTCAACAGATAAGCAAGAGAAAATTTACTTCACGGGGCAGCACAAGCACAGACTGATGAGAAGTTAAGTTACCTGAGGCTAGAGAAGACATTAAATGGGCCATATGAAGTTCAGAGCAAAGTAAGGATTCAGACAACAAATAAGAGAAAGCTTCAAGTAAGCACACAAGGAAAAAGATGCTCTCATATTTCGTAACACTTCTAGAAGTGGCAATACACATGAAAGCAAATACCAAGAGTAGTGTAAGGGCATGACACTTTTTAACAAAGTTACATTCTGACTAACAGAAGGACAAGAAAGTAAAAAACTTGAACCAAATCCTCCTGCTCAAAGAGAGATTTTGACCTTAGCATTTGGAGTCAAGAAGGCAAGCTGGCTAAAGAAATTGAGCAGATTCTGGAAAATGCAGATGCCACCATTTGCATCAAGGTGATGTCCAATGTTAAGACTAACGATGAAATAACTCAGAGGTTTAAAAAAGTGACAAAAGGGTCAAACGGGGGTCTATTTGGCACTGTGGACATAAAAGCTACAAAAAGACTCAGCCTCTGTTGGAAATTACAAAGGACGCACCAGAGAGTCTTAAAAAGTAAAAGAAAGATTCTTTGCTCCACATGGTCCAGAAAAAGTTGTTTGGAGCAAGAAGTGAAGAGCAAGGATTTAAGATTAGATTTACTTCAACCCCCTGCTCCATACCCATACACACACTCCAATTTGGACAAAAGCTGAAGATTAGAGATAAGCTGATTTGCTGTACTCGTTTCTAGCTGTAGTACTAGGGACGAACATGAAATCAAGTGCCTGGGCTGCTTCTACTACCAGCGCCAGAAAATGGAGCAGGTAAACTCCCTCCTACATACAGCATTTATTCCCTAGATGTGACTTAAACATCCACCACCACACACGCATTTTGTCCCGCTCTCTAGAGACACAAATGACCAGAAGAACCTTTGCACCACCTTTCCCTCAGACATATCAGTGACTTGGTTCCCTCCCTTAAGGCTGCACACACGCTCTGCTGAACAAACAGAGCAACCTGACTGCACTATTAAACTCTGAATCTAATTTATTGAGTAAAGTTTTTCAGTAATGCTATTGTTGTTGAACATATACATCAAATAATCTCTGTCGTTCAGTGAGTTTTACGGAAGGTTGGCTAATGCGCATTCAGTAATGCATCCACTGAAAAGCATAATGCTCAGAGAAATAGTTCGCCTAGATTTCAGTCAGCTCTGCTAATTTAATTACTTTAAAAGCAGAAAAGGTATCTTTGCGCAGAGGAAAATGGGAGGAAAAGTAAGAGAATGCAAGAACAAACTGACTAAGTAGAGAGGAAGTGGGGAAAGCATCCAAACTGTTAGGAGCACAGAGAGGGCAGGCAGCTCGGAGAGCAGGTGAATTACAGGAGGGAGGTGCAGTGTGATGGGAAATTGAGATTGAACAGTGAGAAATAATAGAACACAAGCCTGGGAACAATGGATCTGTGAATTCTGTACAAGTAAGCTGAATTATCCTCACAGGCTGAGAGACTGAAAAGCACTTTCTTTCTCCGATATAAATGTTGCTAATGGGAGTATTTTGCTGCACCTACAACTTACCATCTTTTTTTTTTTTTTGGACAGGAAGAAAGAGAACCATACATAGTGGCAAAAATGATAAAAGCAGAGAGCAGAAGTAGAAAATCACAGAGGAGATATAGGATCATAAAATAGCTGAACTGATAACAATCTTGAGAATTCATCCATGTTTTTTTACAATTGAATCAAAACATCTTGGCAGCACTTTTTTTTCTTAAGGAGCAAGGATCATCTCAGTGTTATGAGAAAAAGAAAAATAAAAGTGTTGGGACAATGGTTTCCATATGCAACCAAACAAACAATGAAGCTGAACTTCAGATGTTTGTTTAGTAACTGCATTTTTCCCTTATTGTATTTGTTTGATGATAGAAGGAAGTGTGCATCTGTTTTATGGTTGTTGAGTCTTTGTCTCATGGACTGCTTCCCTACTGACTACCAGAAGGCTAAGGTCCACAGGCTGAGAAATGCTGGTTTGCTTCATTTGCTCGCCTTAAGAAGACTTCATTGTGCGCATACGGTTCCTGTGCTATTCAGTCTGCTCTTAAACTGATGGAAACCCCACTAGCCCCACCCCCAACACAGGGCACCTATTCCAGTGCCCTGAAGAAGAAGAGGGAGCAGGAAACCTCCTGG